GGCCGCGATGCTCTCGCCCTCGCGCTACGCGTCCGAGGCCTTCGCCGCGGACCTCGACTCGCTGGAGCAGGGCGACGCGCGCGAGGTCATCCCGTCGGAGTGCATGGCCGCGCCGGCCGCCGGCGACGCCTGGACCTGCTGCCGGCTCACGCGGCCCCAGAAGTGCGAGTTCAAGCTCTTCGACGGCGAAGGGAACTTCATGCTGAGCGCCCGGAAGGCGGGCGACGACATCGCCGTGTCCTGCTACGGCGAGACGCCCGCGGCGACGAGCCGGCGCGGCGCGGTGCTCCGGCGCCGGGGCGGCGGCGGCGGCGCGGAGCCGCTCCGCTACGAGCTGCGGCTCTGCGTCGGCGAGGTCGTCGTCGAGCACGGGTCGCCCGTCGTCGCCGTCATGCCGCGGACGCACCGCATCGGCGAGAGCCGCGTCGACGTGCGGGGCTACGCGGTCGCCGCGGCGCCGCCGCGCGGGCCGCACTACACGCGCGACCTCTCCGCGGTCGCGGTGCGGCCGCGGGCGCCGCCGGAGGCGACGCTCGCGCTCCGGTCGCGGCTCCCGGCCTGGGACGACCGCAACCAGTGCCTGTCGCTCAAGTTCGGCCGGGGCCGCGTGAAGCTCAGCAGCTCGAAGAACGTCCTCGTCTACGGCGCGGACGCGCTCCCGGGCGGCGCCGCGCCGCCGGGCCTCTCCGCCGATGCCGCCCTCCTCCAGCTCGGCAAGCGCGCCAAGGGCGAGTTCGCCCTCGACTTCAAGGCGCCCCTGAGCCCGCTCCAGGCCTTCGCCGTCGCGCTCTGCGCCTTCGACTCCAAGGCGGCGCTCCGCCGGCGCGCGTTCGCCCGGTGAGCGGCGTGAGCTAGGCTAGGACCCGTCCGACAGGGGGTCTCGACGTCCGACGGCGCGCCCGCACACTGGGCACCATCAACATCGGCCCAACATCGGCCGCATCAACGGGGAATGCCAGCGGCCTCGATCGAAGCCGGGCTGCAACGGCAGAAGCGACGCCAGCGTCGCTGCCCTCGGACCGCCGCCATGTGCATCTGCTTCTTGTGCTTCCCCGATTCGCCGCACAAGAATGACAAGCGCGCCGGGCGCGCGAACATGTTCGCGACGTCCATGTCCAACGCGCCCTGCGCGAACCCGGCCATCTTCTGCGCTTCCTGGTGCTGCTTCCCCTGCCTCAACTACCACCTCCGGTCCAAGGCCATCGAGGACATGAACAACTACATCTGCTGCCAGGGCTACGCGAACTACTGCTGCTTCAAGGCCGGCTCCATCGGCGACCAGGGCAACCCGCTCTGCCTCTTCCTCGAGTCGTGCTGCTGCCCGGGCCTGGCCGTGAGCTCGACGCGCCAGTTCGTCATGGACAAGTACGACCTCGCGAGCGACCCCTGCGACCGGAAGATCATGCACTGCAACATTTTCATCCAGACCCTCGCCTGCATCTGCAACATCCTCGCGTTTTTCATCGAGGAGCTCAGGTGCGTCGCCCAGGCCCTCGACTGCTTCGCGGACATCGTCTTCTGCACCACGATGGGGTGCATGAACGCCCAGGTCGACCTCGAGCTCAAGAAGCGCATGGGCGCCGTCGCCCCGGGCGCGCCCATCTGCGCCGAGGCCGTCTACGAGCTCAGCGGGGGCGCCGCGGCCGCGGAGCCCGGCGCGGAGGCCATGGCGGAGCGGGACTGAGGCGCGCGTAACCTCGACCGCGGCCTTCCCTTCTTTACGGAGATTTCGCCGCGCCCGCGCCGCCGGCGTCGACGACGGCGAGCGGCGGCTCCGGGGGCACGGTGACCGTCGCCGTGCGCAGCGGGTTCCGGCGGCCCGGCTCGAGGGGCACGGCCGTCCCGGGCTCCGGGTCGTAGACGACGGGCGCCGAGGTGTCCACGAAGACCTGGAGGCCCGGGGGGAGGCGCAGCTCGCGGATCGACGCGCGCGTACCCTGCTCCTTGAAGACCGTCACGACGACGCGGCCCGTCCGCCGCTCCACGGACAGCCCCGCGGACCGCCGCTTCGTGACGTCGCCCCGCCCGCGCCGGTTCACGGCGGAGACGCAGGCCGCGACCTCGAAAAAATGCCACTCGCGCTCCCCCGCGACGTGGAGCCGCGGCGTCCGCAGCACCGCGACCGTCGGCCGCCGCGGCGGCCCGCCGCCGGCCTCGAGGCGGAAGGCCGCGCGGCCGTCGCGCAGCGCGAGGCGGCCGCGCTCCGAGGCACAGGCGTAGTGGAGCGCGCCCTCGGCGCAGGTGACCGTGCCGGCCTCGTCCGACTTGGAGAAGAGGCCCCGGAGCGTGACCGTGTTGTCGAAGACGGCGACGCGGCAGTCGAACTCGACGCCCCGCGGCATGGCGCCGAGCACGGCCGTGGCCAGCGGCAGGTCGTCGTCGTCGTCGATGGACGCCTGGGACGCGAGCGACGGCGTCGGCGAATGCGGCACGACGTCGGCCACGAGCGGCGGCGGCGGCGGGCCGGGCGGCGCGGCGGGTCGCGGCGCGGCGGCGGGCGGCGGCGGTCGGCGAGGACCGACGGGCTCCGGGCCCCCGCCGGCTTCGACGCGGGGCGTCGAGAAGAAGCCCATCGCAGCGCGTGGCCTCGAGGGCAGCCCCTAATTTTCTTCTCCCATCATCATGGCCGCCAAGGTAAAGAAGGGCTTCACAATCTCTTCACACTGCAACATTCATCGTTCCACTAGCGCCGACGATGGCCCCGACGATGGCCGCCTAGGAGATGACGGGCGCGGAGAACCCGCTGGGCCAGCCGCAGAGCCGGCGGCGGCAGAAGGCGAGCATCTACCACCAGCGCGGCGCGCGCGATGCGCCCGCGATCAAGCGCAAGCCGCCCCCGCCGCCGGCCGTGGAGCCGCGGGGCCTCACGCAGCTCGCGCGGTCGCGGCGGCGGAGCTCGGCGGGCCGCATGGACCACGCCGAGGCGAAGCGGCTCCACGAGGCGGCCTTCACGCCCGGCCCGCCGACCTACAGCCTGCCGAGCCCGGGCCCGTCCGGCGGGCGCCTCGCGTGCCGGTCGACGTCGACGTGGCTCAGCGAGCGCATCGAGGACAACGCGTGGGTGCCCGGCCCCGGCGCGCACCTGCAGCAGCTGACCCTCGTCGAGCCGAGCCTGGACCGGACCGGGTCCCTCTTCGGCTCCGGCGACCGCGCGCTCTTCTCCGCGGACGCGAACCCCGGCGCGGGCGCGTACGACGTCGAGGCCGCGGAGCGCGCGATGGGCGTCGGCGACGTCACGCTCGCGAAGATCGCGCGCCACGCGAGCCGCTTCCACGACGACGAGGTCGAGGAGCAGCGCCTCGCCGTGCTGCCGTCGCCCTTCGACTACGCGCCTCCGTCCGTCGCGAGCTCCAGGGACCTCGACGAGCGCAAGCGGCCGGGCGTGCGCGTGCGGGGCCGCGAGGGCGCGCGGTCCGAGGTCGACGAGATGATCAAGGCCCAGTGGTGGACGCCGGGCGTCGGGTCCTACGGCGGCATCGCCTTCGAGGGCTCGACGATCGGCGCGGCGCTCGACCGCCACCCGCGGTCCAAGGCGTCGGACCACGAGTCCCTGGGGCCGGGCCCCTACATCGACGTCAGCGACGCCTACCGCACGACGCTCCACGACCTGAGCAGCGTGCGCCTCCGCGAGGACTCCGGGCCCGCGCGCGACCGGAGCAGGGTCCTCCTCGCGAGGAAGCGCGCGCTCGGCCGGTCGCCGGGGCCGGCCTACGACACGTCCGCGGCGTACCTCGCGACGGCGCGGTCCGTGCCCGGCCTGCTCCTGCGGCCCCAGCACCTCGTGGCGTCGAAGCTCGACGAGAAGCGCGCGCGCGCGGCGCCGGACGCCGCGGACGCGTCCGCGTACTTCGCGCGCTTGCGGCGAAGCGCCGCGCCGGCGCCCGCGCCCGCGCCGGCGCCGGCCGCGCGGCCCAAGGCCGCCATCGACCTCACGCAGCAGGTCCACGTCGCCGCGGTCGCGGGCAAGGGCGCGGTCGCCGACTCGTTCGCGTACCTCGCGTCCGCGACGACCGCGAAGCGGGACTACGCGAACCGCAACGTCCGCCAGACGAAGGCGGACGTCGTGGCCAAGAAGCCCGTCGCGTTCGTCCCGCCGCCCCTCCCCAACGCGCCCCAGGCCACGGCGTCGCGCGCGACGGCGACGGCGGGCAAGGCGTCGGCGAAGGAGTACGAGCGGCGCTACCTCGCGGCGTTCCGCGCCTGCCGCGACGCGGAGCTCGCCTACGGCATGGAGGCCATCCCCGCGCGGCGGGCCGTCGGCGACGACGCGACGGACGTCGCGTTCTCCGCGCGTATCCCGGCCCGGCCGACGCGGTCGAGCGAGCGCGAGCGCGCGGACCGGCTGGCGGAGGCGCTGCGGACGCCGGAGCTCGGCCGCCAGGACCCGCGCTTCGTCCCCGACGAGGAGCGCTTCTGGTCCGCGCACGTCTACGACGTCTACAAGCCGCCGCGCTCCGACACGATGAACGACGACCGGCGGAAAGCCGCGACGCCGACGCGCGCGGCGCGCGGCGACGGCGACGCGCGCGGCCCCGACGACGGCCTCGACTTCACGGCCGACGGCGACGACGGCCGCCTCTCGGACTCGAAGTGGCGCAAGCTCCTCAAGAACTCGCGCTTCATCGGCGCCGGCGCGAACGCCGCCGTCGACGAGCACGGCGTCGTCCTCCCGCCGAAGCGGCGCAACGCGAAGGAGCTGTTCCGCGAGTCCGCCTACAAGATCTCGCGCGGCGGGCGCGGTTAATGTTTACGCCTACCCAGGTATGGTGAAGGAAACATGAAGGTTGTGCCGGCTTGGATCGCCGAGTGAGGTGGAGGAGTAGCTCGGAGATGGTGCGCGTTATCGAGCCATTGCTGGCCGCCGTCGCGACTGCGATGGCGCTCGTCGCGTGCTTTTATGCAGCTTACGGCGACGCGTATGTGCGGATGCGCACCCTCAGCGAGCGCACCGCCGCACTGGAGTCGCTCGGTGGACTGGAGTCGCTCGCCCAGCGCGTCGCCGCGCTCGAGGCGCGGCCGGCAGCCGGCGCCGCGCTCGAAGCGCCCGGCGCCTACGACGACGCAACGCTGCGGAAACGCGTCGACGCGCTCGAGCGGGCCGCGCGCGACGACGCCGCGCTGGCGGAGCGCCTCGACGCGCTCGAGCGGGCCGCGGCCGCGATGGCCGCGCGCGGCGACGGCATCGAGGCGAGGCTCGCGTCCGGCTTCACGACGTCGGCGCCCGAGGAGGCCGGCGACGCCGTTTCCGAGGAGGCGCCCGAGGAAGCGTCGGCGGAAGCGGCGCCGGAGGAAACCGCTCCGCCCGACGAGGAGGAAACCGCTCCGCCGGAGGAGGAGGACGCCGCTCCGCCGCAGGAGGAAACCGCTCCGCTGGAGGAGGAGGACGCCGCCGCGTCCGCGTCCGCCGCCGCGTCCGCGTCCGCCGCCGCGGTCCGCGCCGCGTGGGCGGCGGCGGCCGAGGCCGAGTCGCGCATCGAGATCCCGCCGTTCCCGCGCGCCGCCGTCGACGCGCCGGCGCCCGCGGACGAGCGCGGCGCGGCCATGGCCGCGGCCTTCCTCGCGGCCGGCGACTCCTACGCCGCGCGCGGCCAGCCGTCGGACGCCGCGCGCGAGTACGGCAAGGCGCTCAAGCGCGGCGCGGGGCCCGGCGCGCTCGCGAAGCGCGCGGCGGTCCTCGCCGAGGCGCGGCCCGCCGCGGCGCTCGCGGACGTCGCCGCCGCCTGCGGCGCGGGCGCCTGCGACGGCGCGGCCGCGGCGGCGCTCCT